CTTCGGCTTCCTGCATGGTAAATCACCCCTTTGTGGCTATCGGCTGAGGGTGGGGAGGAAAGGCTTTCGCCCCAGGGGGCCACCCAGGAGCCGGGTGCTGTGCCTGTGCCTTGACAGTAACTGACCGAGTGTGCTAGGAGCTGTACGGAGGATTGCTGTCCCCCCAGGGAGTGGGACGGGGCCTGGCAAACCAGCCTCCTGCCCTTCTAATGCCATTTGGGGGCAGCCCGCTCGCTCACTGGTTGGAGCCAGCATGGTCCCGCTGCGGGAACAGAGGCTTTGGGGGTAGCGATGGAGGCAGGGGCAGCGTTGGAGAGTGCTGGCTGGGGTGGGGGGAGGCGGGTGCCCCCAAAAGGTTTCTCTGCCCTGATGCCCCCACCCTGTCTGTCCCACAGATCACATCCCGCCTGGCCGACGTCTTCAACCAGCGCTGCGAAGTGAACCGCCGTGCCTCGGTGAGCGGCTGCGTCATCAACACCTGTGGCTGGGTGAAGGGCTCGGGCTACCAGGCGCTGGTGCATGCTGCCTCCGCTTTCGAGGTGGACGTGGTGGTGGTGCTGGACCAGGAGCGGCTCTACAATGAGCTGAAGAGGGACCTGCCCCACTTTGTGCGCACCGTCCTGCTCCCCAAGTCCGGCGGGGTGGTGGAGCGCTCCAAGGACTTCCGGCGGGAGTGCCGAGATGACCGCATCCGGGAGTATTTCTATGGCTTTTGGGGCTGCTTCTACCCCCACGCTTTCGACGTCAAGTTCTCCGACGTCAAGATCTACAAGGTGGGGGCTCCCACCATCCCGGACTCCTGCCTGCCCCTGGGCATGTCGCAGGAGGACAACCAGCTGAAAGAAAGCGGGTGCCGGGGACGCCGGGGCGGGACATGGTGCACCACCTCCTGAGCGTCAGCACCGCTGACAGCCCCGACGACAACATCTCGGAGACCAGCGTGGCCGGCTTCATCGTCGTCACCGGCGTCGACCTGGAGCGCCAGGGCTTCACCGTCCTCTCCCCTGCCCCCCGGCCCCTGCCCAAGAACTTCCTCCTCATCATGGACATTCGCTTCATGGACCTGAAGTAACCCCGGGCGCCCCAGCCGCCCGCGCCCCCTCCTCACCCTCCGGCCGGAGCTCTGTGGTTTTATACTGTTTGTAACGTTTGTCATTAACCCGCCGCGCCTTTTGCTACCGGGTGAATGTCTGC